AGGACACGGCCGAGCCTGCATCTGGACCCCCTGGCTGGGGAGGACAAGCTCAGGCAGGAGTTGTGCAGATGGACATTGTGCAGATGGCAGGTACTGCCACCACAACTTCTGCTGCCAGAGAGACACCCCCACCCTTCCAAGGGGGCAACAGCAGGGGGTGTGTGTCACCTCAGACCGAAGTACAACGTTCTCCTCTTCGAGGTCCTTCAGCTTCTTCTGAAGGGAGTCCAGGTGGAAATAGTTCTGGACGGAGGAGGATGACTCGTTCCTCTTCAGTCTGGGAGAAAAGTGCACTCCCTCAGGGAGGAGACCAGGAAGGGGTACCCCAAAGGTGTAGAAGCTCGGTGGGGTAGGGTGGGGTTGGCTTCATTTAACCAATGCAATTCTGAGAGTTCATGTAACTCTTAAGATGCACACATATTCACAAGAGATGTTTTACAGGATGGTGAGATGGTTTGGGGAGTTCAGTGCCCAGGACCAAGACCAACATGGCGGAAGGAGAAAACTGACTGCTGAAAAATGTCCTCTGACTTCCACATGCAAGCCGTAAGTCATGGTCTGTGTCATCCCACAATGTATACAAATAAATAAATTAAAACCAAAAGTAAGCGTTCTATGTATGCTGCATGTGGAAACTCGGTGCTCATAACCCTGAGACCTGAGCGTTCTTAACAGCTATATTCTACAGTGAAGAGAGGGTGAAGTGACATGGTTTCTGAGTCACAATAGAGCTGGGACCCCAAAGTGGTTACTGGGCTCCCCAATGTGAGGGTCTGCTGACTCTCAGAGGAGCACCCAGGCCTTCTGTCCCAAGGATTGGAGGCTCCAGGATCTCTGTGCTAGCCCACCCTGTTCTCAGGAGTGTGCTGGGCACATGGCTGCTCTGACAAGCCAGCAATGAAGCCTGTAAGAAGGAGACAGAGCTCTCTGCCCTGCGACTCCCACTGAAGCGTGAGAAGGCTGCATCTGAGGCCTTCAGAGGGGAACCACAGGGGGCTTACGGGGTAGAGCAGACGGACTCGGGCTCGCTCTCCTCAGCCGCGCTGGTGTAGAACTGGAGCAGCTCATCCTTCATTGACAGCTCATGTCGGAGCTGAGACACCTGTGTGGACAGGAAAGAGCAGCTGAAGCTTTCTGGAAGGTGGCAATGTCCCTTCTGTGCTCAGACACTTCCTGGTGAGGGATGACGCCCCACATGGGGACTGATTTGCTACTTGAAATTTCAAGGCATTGAGTTTGACCCCATTTAACAAAATCCTAATCAATGATGTCTAGGTGGGAAACTCTATGTTTGTCATATTTATTTAGAAGAGCAGATAGAGGAGCAGAAGGTTCTGGAATGATCACTGGGGTGGGGATGAGACTGTCTATTGGCTTTGGAAGTGGCCAGATGACCAGCTGGGCAAGTGGCCAGAACAATGAGCCGTAATACAAACAAGAGAGGCCACTGGCTTTGTCAGATGCCATCTCAGAGCAGATCTGAGCACGTGCCCACTCCAGGTGGGCTGCCACTTAGGAAACCACAGCTCCTCCGTGTGACCAGCACACCTCACAGTGTCCCTGGCCAAGCTGGTCAGGCACGCTCTGCACATGACGGTTACCGGGCAGAAACTGAGTGTGGGAGGAAACAATGAGCCGGGAGGAAGGCCAAGCTGCTGACTGCTAAGGGCTTTGCAAATGTTGCTCGTGTGGGCTCAAGGCTTTCGGATAAGCAGTGGCTACTGTGAAACTTCTCTCCTGCCCTTCCCGCACCCAAAACTGATAAGCACAGGACCAGAGCCGTGAAGGAGAATGGGAAGTCTGTTTTCTGGTGCGGCTTGGGGTTTGGTCCAGCTTTCCTACACCACACAGGGAGTGGACTCTGTCTTCCTGGAGGGTCTACTTGGATTATATACTGTATAAGGATTCTCCTACCTAGAGGAATCACTCAATAATTCTCCAAGGAGAAGCATGGCCTCAGAGTTTGCTCATTCAGAGTTTCGCCTGGGAAGCAGGACATCTGCATCCTACAGGATGGGACATCCTTCATGCAGGCCGAGGGAGTCTCACACAGATGGCCATGGAAGGAGGCCAGTGGGCGTGTCCCTCTGCTCAGAAGGACATCCTAGTCCATGTGCTTTTTCCCTAACTGAAGCCATTCCCCTGGGCCAGAGAAGGCAAGAACACCTTCATTTCCCCAATACTACAGCATTACCATCTCAGACAGCAAGCTGGAGATGAGACCCTTTCTTATAGGTTGACTTAAAACAGTAAATTCAACCTAGGAATGGCTTTAATGAGAAAAAGAAAAAAAGACTTGACTACCCTGTAGGGTCATGGAAAAGCACCCTTTCCCACTGAGGAAGTCACAGGGGGACAGAGAGAAAGGGTGAGAAGGAAGAGTCCTCAGGGCTAAAACTTACTGCGAGGAAAACAGGCCGAGGGGAGAGGGGCCACAGAGGACGCTGGCCTCTAGGCCCCGGACCCTTCAACTCCACCTGACTCTGACGGTCCCCACGCACTCTATACCTCACTCCAGGAAAGGAGTTTCCTTCCTCCTGGTAGAGACATTTCATTTGTATTTCAATAAATAAAGCTGGCCTGAAGTTCAGAGAGTAAAACAGCCCCACTGGTCAGCCTTACAGGCCAGGCAGTGGTGACACACACCTTTAATCCCAGTAGCCACACTAGTTGCCATAGAAACCAGGTGGTGGTGGTACACACCTTCAATCCCAGCCCTAAAGAGGAATATAAGACAGGAGGAGACAGCTCTCAGACACAGTCTCACTCTGAGATTCCTGGAGGCAGGATCGCCACTTTAGACTGAGGTGGAGGTAAGAGCCAGTTTTGCTTTTCTGATCTTCAGGCTGAACCCCAAAGTCTATCTCTGGATTTTTATTAATAATGCTACACCTCATGACCGTAGGTTCCCTTTGGGGTGCCAAGACAGTCTGTTCCCTCTCCCCTGACAGCCGTGAGTTAAGATGAAAACCGTGAGCTTGTACAATGGAAACCGCATGCTGTGGTGTGCACTGTTCTCACACTTACATGGTTGTATGTACAATGGAAACCGCAGGCTGTGGTGTTGCACGGATCTCACACTTACATGGTTGGATCAGTGTAAGGAGTGAGTGGTGGAAGAGCCACTAGCTCCTCGCCTGCTTGCTCTATGGGCTGTGTGTGCTTCCTCCCAGCATGGGGGTTCACACTTAGAGTCCAGGCTCTCTGAGGACTAAGTCATTCCTCTGCCTGCACATATGCTCCCCCCCCGCCCCCGACAACTCCCAGGCTGGGGTCCTCACCTCCTCCCGAATGTGTTCCACCTGCTCTTCCAGAAGTTCGTTCCTCTCAGTTAGGGTCTTGTTCTTCTTCAACAATGACTGGCCGATTCGCGCGGCCAACTCCAAATCCCGCTCTTTCTGTGATGGATGAGAGGGAGAATGGGGACTTAACCCTGTGCGTCCTGGAGGAGCCAACAGGGCTCAGTGTCAGATGGGTGTACCCCAAACTGTGGGATAATTAACAACTCTCCATCCAGATATTTGGTGCCTAATCAAGATGACCTCAGTCGTACGGGTACAGGAAGAGTTGATGGAAACCAAGGACATGGAAGGAAAAATTGTTTGTTTAGTCATTGATAGCACGTCCCCACCTGAGAGCCAGGACACTGACTAGGAAGGATGGATGGACAGGAGGATGGATGGATGGACAGGTGGATGGGTGGATGGACAGGAGGGTGGATGGATGGATGGGTGGATAGATGGATGGATGGATGGATGGATGGATGGATGGATGGATGGATGGAT